TGGACGTACATCGCGTTACTTGCACAGTAACTTCATATCTGTTAATGAAAGAAGCCAAAATTCGTGAATAATAGTGCAAGAGGAATCAAAATGTAGATATCATGGAAGCAAAATAGAACAAAAATTGCCAAAATCACCAAAAATTTAAAAATCTCTTTTGTCGAAAATAGTAATTAATGCAATACTCCCATTTCCGTATGATAATAAAGGATTTTCTCATAAATAAATTAGATCCAATAATTAAAGTATTATTTCTACAGCAATCTTTCAGAATATTCTAAAGTAGTATATAGAGTCTGACTTTCTTTGGCAGCATAAACTAGTATCAAACTCCTAACAGACTCAGAGGGACTTATTGCTTGGACTGAAATATCCACAGCGTCTTGACCACCCACCACTTGTAGCAGTGAAACTTAAAGTAAGTTTCAAATTCAAAATTTGAAACTTTGCTTAGCAGTAAACGACTACACATCTGATTTTAAATCAGCTTAGAACTACTCACCGGCGTGAACAATTAAATGTCGGCAGCAGAAGCGCAAAGCTAAAGAATTACAATCTTCTCAGAGCTGGCAAACCTATTAACGTGGCCTCGAGAGACAGAAACACGTTACAATCCAAAACTCTGGACTTATATACTCTCTAACTAATTTGCATTCTGGTGAGTGAGCGGAAAGGAGAAGTGAGAGTAAGGGCTAAAATTATAAATAACTGATTAATTAAAATAATAAAAAACAAAAATAATAACAAAAAAAATTGAAAATCTGAAAGCTTTCAGATGCCAAAAGGGGCTTTTTTTAAACGTTTTGTGTGTTACCTTTGTGTATTAAATATCATGTGCTTCGCATTCAAAACATAAAATTCAGTTCAATAGCAATATCGCAAAATAATTTTAAAATGAGCATATCTTTAGAATTTCCGGATATCTCGCGCGCTAGATATAAAAAGGTTCTTTTTCTCGTACAGGGTTGCCACTGCTCGCTTTTAGATCGTTGAGTTGGTTAATCAAAAACTCGTTAAAGTTTTACTAAATATGAAATAAGATAATAAAACAAATTCAAAATTTGGGCTTCCAGATGCCCATGTTCGGGTGGAAAGTACGTTATTCAAAATGTCTCTAGGTAGCATACATTTACGCAGATTCTTCATTATTTAATTCCTTTAAATATAATATAGGGCGATAATATTTGGTGGCAACAATTTTAAAGAGAACCGACATTTATAGTGAACCAACGCAAATTGCTAAAACGAAATTAATAGTCCTTCTGAGCATTTAATAGTCAGTCTGGGCTTCTGGGACTAATAACCCCACCATAAAATACACCATATGGAGACAAAATATTTGAAAAATTACATCTATTTTCTTCTTTAAGACAATGCATCTGGTCCCAAGACTATCACTGTGTGAGAATGTTAGTTCAACACATCTGCATTTGGACATGCACATTTGTGCATATTTGCATTTTACCCACACCGCTCTGTTGACACGGAGGTACAGAAGCCCGTTGCCAGAGCTCTGAGTTTCAGTTCGAATCCTGGAGATGGCATACTTGTATGTAAACGTATACTGTCATAATAAAAAGAGGTTAAACTTCTAGAAAGATCCGTAACTAATTTCTCATGAGCTCTTTGTATGATTTTACTTTGGACTCCGTGAATGCAGGTAACAGCATAAAATAAATGTAATGTAAAAATTTCAATCCATTTCGTGACTCCTAGAATGCTGGACCTTTTCACATGCACAATTACGACCCTGTACATGCTACAAAATGAAACATGATGAAAATGTAGTTGAAATTTAAATCCGCCTGAAACCTTACTGCTTCCTATAAAAATGGAGATATATTAACCCTTTACACTCGAGATGTAGCTCTCGGTCACACACTTAATTTGATGCGGTAACAATGTTTATTTAGGTTTGGTTTGGGCAATAAAGCTTCATGAGTGTATTCAACCATGCATGGGTATAAGCATCTGCCAATTTTTAATCTTAATTTACCTTTATAGATTTATTGTTATATATGCATCTTCGACGTCATTTTCGAACTCGACAGTCATGGCAATAGAAGCATTATTTTCAAAGTTACGGAGCTCAGTAAGCATGGAATACGAGGAAGGAATTAATTCAAGTGAAGATGAGTTCAATTTGCCGTTGATGAAGAACGAAATTACATCAATGCATACTTGATGATGACTACTTGACGACAGAAAGGAGGAAAACAATAGGCGATTTATTTCAGTTTAATTTTAAAGGTGAATATAGGCGATGAAGTAAAAAGTGTAATTAGGCGAAAAATCAAGGTGATAGATAGTGAATGTGAAAGCTATAATAATTCCTCAAAAATGACAGAAAATTCAGAATGGATAAAGAGCACAGAATCCGGAGAAATATCGTAAAGAATGCCATTTGTATGCGGTGAAAGAGCTGCAGTGCAGCAAATATCTTGAGACATAAAAGAACCAATAAATTTCTTTAAATGGTATGTGAAATCTTTCAAGTCAGCTGTAAGAAATTCACCAAATATGTGGAAAATCGATTCGAGTTTAGAGTTCGCGTGAGCAAAAAAAAAAAAAAAAAAAAAAAAAACCTAGAGTACAAAGGGTTAATACTTCAAACTAGCACAATACTTACTTAATTAAAAATGCAACATTTTTAACATTTTAAATCTATTGCAGATCTATCCATCTGTCTAAGACGTTACCTACCAGTAGCAGATTGGTTAAGACCGCTGAATGCTAGTTATTCCAACTGAGTTCGATCCTAGGCAAACATCATGGCTTTACAGCTGATTTTTGTGATTTTCCTCTTGTGTAACATGAATGCAACCCACTTCCTTGCAAATCTCTCTCCTGAGGCAGACAGCCCGCTTGTGTTTTCCAGTATTCAAATAACCTGAAATTCCTATTTTCAAGATGCATACACCATCAGTAAATTTATCATAACATCTTTTTGACATGTATTTCATCAATCACTTCGTACACTTTGTGTACATTATATAGTGAAACATTATATATGTAGAGAAATCATGAGAAATGACTTTAAACAAACCAAAACTCTTAATTTATTTGTGTCAGTATTTTATATCTCATATCAGCCTGATTTCAAATCACCGTGTTGTGGTATTATGTAACAAGGAGTGTAGTAACAACGTGTAATAATTGATTAATATCATTGAGAAAATCAGAAGAGAAGAAAATACAAATATAACAACGAAAACAAGAAGAGCTAAATTCTTCATTTCTGTACATAGGAAATGGTTTTGCTGAAAGTTTATATTATGGTGACATAATCGACGATTATGTCTTGCGAAAGTTTAGGTTAGTTTAAGTAATTTAAATGCTGTTAAACAAATTGCTGTCTGCCTAAAGGGAGAGATTTGTAACGCCTGGCTAGTATTGACATTACACATGAGGAAAACCACGAAAAACAGCCACAAAGCCATACCGTTAGCCTGGGGATCGAACTCGAGTTAAACTACCAATATTCAGTGATCTTAAAACACTATCTCACTAGTCACGTCTTGCAAAAAGTGGGTAGCTTTATAACAAATTTCAAATGTTTCAAATGTCACATTTTAAATTAGTTAAGCAAAAGCAAGCATATTATAGTTTTACATAGGACTCCGAAAGTGGACTTGAATATCACTTACATTTTTCATCAACAAGGCCGTGATTATGCACGTGCAATAGCTGCGCAGTAGAATGTCCAGCACGATAAGAGTCATGAAATGGACTGAAATTTTTACACTGCATTTGTTTTATATTATGCCCTGCATTATTGGAACCAAAAGTAAAATCTCACAAAGTGCTCATGAAAAACTAATTATGAATTTGATCATTATAGAGTCTTATTATTACGATCCTAACTGTTGTTGTTGTTGTTTAGCAAAATGCCTTTTTAGAAGAGAAAAGGTTGATGAATAAATTTTTGCGCATAGGAAATACCCAATAACGCTAAATGAATTTTTATTAGTTAGTTATATTTTATGAAGCATCTTTTTCATTGTATATTGATTCACCTACGACTCGCTGAATACTATAAGTGCATGAATGTTATTGCCTGTTACATAAAATTATAGAAGAACTACTGTATTATTCTCCTGTAATTACATCTCCAGCTGTATTAGTTTCATTTTACGTATCAGAACTGATCGGGGCAAAACCAATGGATGAGGAAAACAGAAAAAGTCTAGAAGTAGCCTCGGGGAAGCAGTGGCGAATTTCGCCCCTGCGCAAGACATAAAATATTTAATTTAAATTGTAATACATTTAATTTACACTTAATTCATCTGATAGTTTTGGGAAACACTTACAGCTTTTTTGTAATTAAAAATGTTTCTAACATCATATGTTGCGTAACGGCTGCAAAATCTTGTATGTAAGCTTTTTTATATATTTTTTTCAATTTTTAGAAATATTTAGCAGTAAAATTTCTTAAAAATATCAGACCATGATATAATCTAGCATTTTGAAGTCTTCGTAGTACAGGTTTCCTGTTTTAATAGTGGCAACGGGAGTAATAAAGCACAATCCAATTAATTCATCGAAACGTAATGAAAATTGTTCTGAGCTGCTGTGAATCACTCCGACTGATAGATTGTTTCATTATCTAGTTGATATAGTTAAACTGGTAATTGCATCTCCAAAGTAGTATTATAATTAATATGTTAGTTTGTGTTTAATTATTCTTATTTACACGCACATACACACATATCCCCCAAATGATTTGCTATTATATTATTCGCGGTCGTCATGTTTTTGTCTTCTCTTCAAGGGGCAAAAAAGCGTCTCATGTGCATAATGGAGAAGTATCGTCAAATTTTCTGACCAATCCTGTGTTTTAAATAGTTATAATAATGAAGGAAATAAAATTTGATTTTATAATTAATTTAACTACTTAAGTTTGTTAAAATTAAATAAAAATAATAACATTAGAACTTTAAATACACATTTCATATAATACTAAACAGAGTTGCTTTCTAGAGGAAAAATATTTTACTTACTTCAGAAATTAGAAGCTTCATCAGTAGCATCCACACGTTGCGAGCCTTCTAAAATGCACAAATTTCTCAAAATAGCAGTACGGAAATATTTGCTCATAAAGCGTGTTTTAGAGCCAAGTTCGAGAGGCCAAAATTGGTTTCCAAGCATAAGTTTCATATTTTATTCCGCAACAATGAATTTAAAGAATACGTGGACGTAGCAAATTAGTAGTACAAGTAGCATTAAATGAAATATATATCTATATTTTATTGTTGTGCCTCAAATACTTTATATTTTTAAAATAGTATTAAAAGAATCAAAGACAAATAACCATGCTTATGATTTTTAAAATTGTTTGATAATTTGAATTTAATGATTAGAAAACTAATTAAATGCATTAACTGCTTTTAAAAAAATACAACGAATTTATAAGTTTTAGCGGATTTTTTAACACAAGAGATTATGAAAGTTTTCACTTTAATTACTTCATTCCAGTCTCTGGATTTTCTTTTCCTTCTTTGAAGGAGAAAAGTATCGTCTGCGCATACCAGACACAGTAATTTTACACGTAAATGTATTTTCACTTACTTATCTACCGATTTGAATACATTTTCTTCCTAAAAATTCTAATAGTTGCTTTGATATCGTTTAAGTTTGAAAAACTTTTCGCTTTCGTGCGTAAGGTTGAAGCGGACGCATCCTCGAACAAGCTACACTTCTCCAGTATTTCGTATTAACTACTGAGAGGCGGGAAAAGTTTTTGGCATCGCGTAGGTTATAAATACGCTTTCTGACGTGAGGGAAGATGCTGTCAGTAAAAGATCCGGAAACTAAGTGACGGATATTGTGGGCGGAAATCATTCAGTCACGCGCGTTGTCAATTTGTACTTCGCGTGATGACTTCTCAGTATTATGCGCTCATTTCAGGTTCAGACTATCAGACTATTTAGCGTGTCACCATTTGTAAGCAATTTATTAGCACCCATCAAATACGCAATATTATGTGTTTTTTCGAATAAAAATAAAGTAATAACATTATGTGTTTTTTCGAATAAAAATAAAGTAATATTCACTAGTATCTTGATGTAATTTTGCTTTATTTAGCAGTCCAGTATCACTAAGCGCAGTGTTCGCCCCAACGTGAGCAGATTAAAACTCCGAAAAGGTCGAGATAAACGTGGATGGATGAATAAATAATTTCTTCAGCAAACTCATAATGCTTGCGGAAAATGTAAGAAGATCAAAGCTACAAAGGAAAAGCTTCTGCTTTCACTTACTATGGTTGTAGGAGCTGAATTTTAAATTTCTGCAACCTTTGTATGATGAATTCTCATTCGGAATTTCTGACTTTTTCAGCTATCATCGATCAAGATCTGCTCATATTATGTCTCCATGCGACATTATGCATTCTCATTGGACTTACTGACTCTTTCAGGGTTGCATCGGTCAAGAAGTGCTCATATTATGTGTTCATACGACATTATTCTCATCGAGCCGAGCATGTCGCTCGGCGAAATAATCATGGCATTACCGTCATCGTATAAAATCAAGTCAGTCAAGTGGTTGTTTCACTTTTTAACAGTGATTCAGAAAAGATAGGACTTTGCATGTGAAGCTCTTCCAGTCAATGGAACCCCTTAGAGTTGTCCCATTCAACCTTGAAAATTTTATTTATTGAAAATTTAATATTAATTGAAATATTTGACCGTTATTCCCAGCTCAGTTTTTGTTTTCCACATTCTCATATATATACGTGAGTGAATGAGCTTTTGACTCTTCATCATCCGTTCCGACCAAAACAATAATTCGATTTGTATTAATCTAACTTTGCATTTGACCTTTCCTGACGACCAAATTTTAGCAGCATTTGCAGCATTTTTTCCTCCTCTTTTTCATTCGTTAGCTTGCTGCTCTATACTACGAGTATATTGGTTACGAAACGAACTCTTCTAAACAAGTCTCAGAAAAATACTGGAATTCACTAAAACCCAGCGAGGCAAAAAGTCTTAATTTATGGTGACATGTCTTTCAGACTGAAAAACATGGGAAAACTATCAATAAACAATATTGTCAAACAATGCCGATCTATCTATTGAATATCTATGAATATAATCTTGAATATGCGGCAACAATATGGGTCGACTTACTCACTTCTAAATCGGATTTTTTACCTATACAACAAATTCGCCATCTGTACCTTTCTTAGAATGAGATCCGTTTACTCATCTAACCGTATTACCATCTGATATTTACCGTAAAGTTCTGATTCTAAGTTTGTCTTATCTTCAACTACAAGCAATGCTTTCATATGAGCAGTTTTAAATACCAAAAACTTCTAATTCTCATTACCTAGATCACCTGGTTAATATTTCCCGATATCTTTGCACCAACTCATGTCGTAACCTAGCAGCGCATCGGTAGCTATAGCCTCCTTTTGGAACTCTCCAACTTGGTATAGCAAAAATTGCATTCCCAAGCTTTCTAAAAATAATTGTACCGAATTTCTGCACTCGAAATTGCTAGATGGTTTCATAGATGCACGACAAGTATCCATTTATAAAGACGAATCCTTCAACAGGACTCGCTAATGCCGTAGGAGCTTGGGGAGGAGGGAGGCAGGCTAAATTTTGCGCTATCTTGCTTCGTGATACTGTTGGACGCCAAATGTAGAGTTCTTCTATAACTGGGAGCTTGTATTGAAGTCCCGCTGTCCCTACTAGACTGATAGCGAGTTATCGCTATGTCTTGTTAAACAATTCACAAATACAGACGGTTAAAATAACCTGTGCATTTAGTCTCAAGTTCAATAGAACAAGCACAGCTTGTGCTACAACTAACTTCCGTTATCTAAGGATTATTTAAATCAGCATAGTAGGAAGTAATTCAGATACAGCTAATATAGTCTGAGATTACACACAAAATAGTCTAATTAGGTTGGCTCAGAATCATTTGGCCGTATTTTAAAGCAACGGTTAGTAAGACGCTGAAATCAAAATATAATTATTTGCCTGTAGCCTCAGACTACGTTACTTAAATTTGAACTTCAGTTTATGTTATTTTAAATACCCGCAGGTGGCGGAGTTTCGTCCTGCAGCACAAGTGGAGTTTTCTGTTAAATTAAAAAAATAAATAAAAAGATTAGTTCAGAAGACAAAAAACAAAAATCAGCGTTATATTTACAAAATTTTCACAGGACTAGTTTCGATGGTTTTACCGAACCACCATCCTCACCTGCAAAACCGCAAATGAACAAGATAGGAAAAAAATGATTAGATAAGATAAGAAAGCCTGGACGAGAATAAGCAAGTGGCGCCATCTGTTGGTGAAACCAGAACTAAAACATAATTTCTTTAAAGGCCGAAGGGAAATTTGGATTGGAATTAGGATCGTTAACTAGAACAGAAAGATTTTTATAAATGTGAAATGCCTCTAGAAAATCCAGTTCTCCAATGGAAGATGTTTTTTGAATAATTTTGGCAGCAGAAAAATTGAAAGTGTGATTTTCGGACCAAATATGTTGCGCAACAGAAGACTTCTGTGTTTCCTTTTTTCTAACATATGCCTCATGTTCCTTGACGCGAAATTTTAAGGCTCTCTTAGTTTGGCCAATGTAAATTAAACAACACTGGCAAGGAATCCTATAAATACCCCAGGAATTCATATCCGGAATGGGGTCCTTAAGTATGGAACTCGGAATTTTATTGATGGGAGAATAAACAACCCGAAAATTAAATTTCTGCAAAATATGTGCAACTTTATAGCTAATTGATGGAAAGAAGGGAATGAGAACAGAATTTTTATAATCTCCTAAAACAAGAGTGTGCCTTTTAGTGTGTTGAGATGAGAATTTTTTAATTGCTTGATTAATAATGTTGGGTGAAAAGCCCCTGTCAATAGTATTGCTTTAAATAATTTAGTTCTTCATCAAGGGCTAGTTTGGAGGAGCAAAACTTGAAGAGCACGGAAAACATAGGAATAAAATGAAGCTAACTTTTGTTTAGTCGGATGACATGATTTAAAGTGTGGTGGAAGGCAAACCGATGAAGGTTTACGGTAAACCGTAGTACTGAAGTTGGATGTGTTACGTGTGACCAGAATGTCGAGAAACGGAAGAGAATGGCAAGTCTCAAGTTCAAAAGTGAACTGAACAGCAGGATCAATAGAATTCATTGTTGAAAGAACTTTATTTAAATCATCTTTATTACCTTCAAACAGGGTAAAAGTATCGTCTACGTAGCGGAACCATGCCGGGAAGTTTAAAGTTTCAAACAATTTTGATTCGTAATAATGCATGTAGATATCAGCCAGGATGGGACTGAGGGGGCTTTCCATGGCAAATCCCTCAGTTTGCTTGTAATATTTATTTTGGAAAACAAAATGTGTTTGTTTCCAAACAGAGTTGAGTGATGAGAGAAATTAGCTCATCAATTTCGATGCAAGAGAAATGAAATTCGCGAAAGTCTGGTTTCTAGACATCTTAATGCACCCTCCACTGGGACATTGGTGAATATTGATTTTACATCAAAAGAAACCATGAGTAAATTACTAGGAGAAATGTTTTTAACCTTTTTTACAAACTCTATTGAATTTTTTATGGTGTAAATGTTATTGTCTAATAGAGTGGAAAATCTAGAAACCAAATATTTAGCTAATGGATACGAGGCAGTACTTAAATTTGATAAAATAGGGCGGAAAGGAATACCACTTTTATGAATTTTGGGAAGACCATATAATCTGGCACAATTCGCAACAGATGGGATAAGCGAATGTTTTAAGTTGCTTGAAATGATTTGCGAAGATTTGATCGCAGTTTTTATTTTTGACAAGTCGGAAGGTGAAGGATCTTTAGGGATCGGGTTATATGGTTTCACCCAACATTATTAATCATGCAGTTAAAAAATTCTCATCTCAACACACTAAAAGGCACACTCTTGTTTCAGGCTATTATAAAAATTCTGTTGTCATTCCCTTCTTTCCATCAATTAGCTATAAATTTGCACATATTTTGCAGAAATTTAACTTTCGGGTTGTTTATTCTCCCATTAATAAAATTCCGAGTTCCATACTTAAGGACCCCATTCCGGATAGCTTAATGGCAGACCGCACATTGAGTTGAATAATGTTAAGCAAATTTCGCTTACTGCCTTGATGGTGTACCTTTGGCACGGAGAGAAATATTGGCGACTAAGCAACCCTACGCTAGCTTATTCGTGATCACCATGGCTGTCGAGTGTGTTCGAATGATGTTTACAACTGTAATGTTGTGGAACTTTGCTTATTAGTTATTTTAACATCCATACCGATTGCACTTGCTTATTTTTCTAATATATATTTCATTGTAATTTGTCAATAACAGTGCATTTAATATTTGTTATATGTTCGTAATAATTCGTTATTTAAATGTAATTTGTTTACATGTTATAATTCAGTAATTGTAAACTGGAGTATCTCGCTTCGTTTGTTAGCGTATATTCGCGCTTTTATTTTCTCATTTCAAAGAATTTAATAACTAGCATTAAGGAACTGTAAAATTTCTTCAGTGTTATTTGCAAGCACTTGTTATATTCCTCAGTGTTTCTTTATGTATGTACGAATCGTACGTATGGTAAATCCTGAATTGTTTTTATTGCTTAAAAGTATAATGAATAAGTTTTCAACTAATATGTCCTAAATTTCAGTCTTTTTCTGAACGAAAATTTG